TTTGTAGGATTCTTCCTCCCCCTTAAAAGTAAGGTTATGCAGAAATTAAGACACAAGTAATGCCATATGAGGTGTACCCCGTTACCATGCAACCCCCACCTCCCCGGGGGCAACTGGAAGCTCTGCCAATGTGTGTTGTGTTTTGGGATGACGGGAAAAGTTCACCAACCTTCTGGCTGGCTTTGCCGCTTGTCTTCAAGCTGCAATGGCTAAAATTGCATGCTGGAATGCAGAACCTGGAAGGCGATACTGTAGTACAGACGGTTGCTTTCAGTATTCAATTATTGGGAAATGACGGCGCTGAGAGCCAGTGGATTGGAAGAAACGGAAGTTGAGTTAACGGTGTAGCCCAATAAATTATTTGTACAGGACCTTGAGGGAGTATACAGCATATTGTTTAATTGCACCAATAGAAGGCATTGTATCACCTGCAGACTGTCTTTGTTTGAAGGTCTCCTCTTTAATGTCATGCAGAATACTCCTTAGAGCTTTCTTACATTTTCACAAAACCATTTTTTCTCTCTATTTTGATCTTGTCTTCCTCATTCCAGCTCCCTTAGCTGCTTTAAAGAAATAAAATGGGAAGCCTAGCTTCTACTGATGAACCTCAAAGAAATCTTCACCTTGTTGTAGTCTATGACAGTGTTTCTCAACCTTGGCAACTTGAAGCATGGCTGGCTGGGGAATTCTGGAAGTTGAAGTCCAGACATCTTCAAATTGCCAAGGTTGAGAAACACTGGTCTATGATCTATTCTTATGGAAATATCTACTCCTGAAGATTTGCCCTTCAAGACTCTGATTAGATGCATCATTCTTGTAGGCATTGTGATGTGATCTAAGAGATGTGGGTATTAGACTGAGGAATTGTAGGAAGTGTTGTACATTCAACAGCATGATAAATCTGTTCCTAGGCTGGATAATGCCAAACTGCAGGAATGCCATTCTATGCCTCAGTTCTCCCACTAAAGACCACTGCCTTTATAATGAACTGGCTATCAAGAAAGGCACAGCTCCTCTTCAAGTTATATGAATTACCTTAACTGCAACTGTCCTGTTACTCAGCATCATGAACTAACAGACTTTGGGACCAGGGGTCAACATTTCCTGAAAGAAAAAGCTTGTTACCTTCTGTAGTCACCCATCAGAGGACAAATAGGAAGTGCAAGGCTATTTTACAATCATGCTTGTCAAACACTGAATAAACAAAGGTGATGGTTTGGCTTGTCATTTCTCAGTGACACACTTGGCGCTGTTACTGATGACTTCCTACCGTATCTTCTGTGAGAGGGGAAGATTATTTAGCACTAAGATTCATTATGCTATGAATTAGGTGCAAAAGATCAGAATGATAACATCCATTTTGTTCTTGGCCGCAGTCCTGGAATCAAGCTTTCTGCACAGTAGTCGTAGGCGCAGAAAGCAAAAATTCATCTTCACCTCCAAGTCCAGGACATTTACTCATCACAGAGGAGGACTTTCAGACAAGACTTTGAATTGTCTCTCAGACATTTGCCCCCTTCAAGTAGAAGCCCTCTTTGTCGATAGATTCACTTGTTTATCAGCACATGGGAGATCAGATCAGTGGATCCTTGTTATTACCCAGGAAGATGATTAATTAATTTGATTTATATCCTACCTGGACGTTGAAGTCCAGACATCTTCAAGTTGCCAAGGTTGAGAAACACTGGTCTATGATCTATTCTTATGGAAATAGCTACTCTTGAAGATTTGCCCTTCAAGACTCTGAGTAGATGCAGAGTCTACAAGGTGGTGTACTTAGCACTCCCTCTTCCAATGTTTCCACAGTAACCCTGTGGAAAATCCAGTGGGTTTCCATAGTTGAGGGTGGACTTAAATTTGGCAATCCAATGCAATACGGCACACATTGTCCTTTTGCCAGGCTATGTGGCAGATTCACATCCAGGCGTCCAGAAAGCATGCCCTCCCATTGTCACCACCGCTGGAAGAGGGTCTGTCACTTCTCCAGTGCAGCTAGTTCAACTGCAATTAGACCAGGACAATTGTACCCCAGATGCTTTGCAGGTTAAACTTTAACTTCTGTCCAGTGGGCCTGGCTCCTCCGATAAATTTCATTCTACCTGGAAGATGCCCCTATTGACTGACACTTCTCACATTTTTTGCTATTCCTGGACTACAACCAGGCTCAGGTACTTCTTGAACTGTGAGTCCTCAGCGGCCTGATCATTGCATTGCCTTTCTTCAGGCTCAGGGTTGGAGTTCCTTCCATCTACTTTGCTGAAAGGCAGATTTAATAGACTCCTTTGCAGCTGCCCTTGTAACTCAGAGGTAGGTGAAAGAGTTGGGCGTGTTCTCCTATATGCAGGTTTTATAGGGATCTATGCAATAAACATATGTCGCTTTTAAGTAAACCTTTCAGACCACCCAGATTAAACTTCCCACCATTTACTTAGGGACAGTAGCTGGTGTCACTAATCCAGTAATCCATCTCCCTTTCTGTCTGTCTGTAATACATAATCTATGACATTAATGTTACTGTTCGTTTCGTAATGAATTGTATTATTGTCTGAATGTCCTGTTTCTGTAGGCTGTTATATGTTGATGGCCTTTGGTCAACTCAGCACTCATTCATTCATATGCCAAGTGCTTCTCTACCCTGAAAAAGGGTAGCAGACAATATCTGTCCTGGACATCTGCGATTGAAGGCCTTTCTCTCAGCTCAGAAGTTCCTCACCGTGAACCTTTTATTGCGTTTGATCAAGAAAACTGATTCATAACAATCAGTCTGGAAGACGCTCGTTTTCAAATTGCATTCAGTCCATGTTGCAAGCGATGCTTGTAGTTCGGCTTCACGATAGACCACAGCACTTTGAGTCCTTTCACTAAACCTTTTGAGCTGGTGGGAACTTCCTTTGTCTCTCAGGGATGATGTGTTCTGCTATATAGACAAATCTTTGCTGGCCATTTTCTTCCAAAGCTGCTTTCTGTATCAGATCAAGATCATCAAAGTTACTGGGTCAGAGTGACCTTGCTTCGTGCTGCCCTTCTGCCCACATTTCAGCAAGAAGGACTGGATTCCATCTCGAGCAGAACCAGACTCCCAACAGTAGATCTCTTTCTGTTGCAAGTATGGAAGGGATGCCTCCCACTGGAGCGCTGTTTTCAATCTCCATTCAGAAGTTAAGCCAGCAGTCACTTGCAAGTACCATAGTTGTTAAGTTATGCATTAAGGTTTTGTCACATGAGGCGTAGAAGCCCCATAAATCTGTCTCATTCTTTCAGAGTCAGCCTGCCATTTTTTCTTCTGGTGGGCCAAACACCAGAAAAGGGGGGGGGGGACAGCGGCCAATGAGGAGATGTGTATTGGATGCGGAATAATTTAGACCCCCTCTCTTCTTCTATGGAAATGCGTTCAGAATCGGTACAGTTTCAGAATATACACGGCTTGATTTTGGTGAAAAACATGCACAAACTCATGTTTATGTAAGTGTTAATGACTAAAAGCTAAATAGGAGATATTAACATAGTTACGGCAGGAGCAGGTGGCATCACACAGACAATTTTAGCCGACCCCAAAAATACTCAGCGGGAACGGGCCTGATTAGCACTTGGATGGGAAATGACTAGGAAATCTCAGGATTTTAGAACAGCTTGGGAAGTTGAAAAAACATCCCATTCCATATTTCTGCCTGTCAGCCCTCCAAGGTAGACCAGACTAGGAAACCAAAGTCTTGCAACTAACACTACTTTTATTATAAGATCGTAGTAACAGAACCTTGCGAGTCTGAATATGCTTCCCCCCTCCCTCCCTTTGACTTCATGAGAACCAGGAGGGTTAAGTCTGAGACGCTTTCTCAAATTACAGTTCTGCCCCGGACTCAGGTTTCTCTTATCTGACTGATGCCTTGGTTGTGGCTGTTCCTCCTGTTCCTCAAGGTTATTCTCACACTGCTGAGAAAGTAAATGTCTGCGCCCATAAAATCAGCAGAAGTCAGGTTTGATTTGAGGGGGTGTTTACTTTGGATATTTACATTAAAGTTGTTTAACTGATTGAGAGCCAGTATGGTCTAGTGGTTGGGGCACCAGGCTAGAAAGTAGGAGACGGCGAGTTCTAGTCCCTCTTGAGGCACGAAAGGCGGCTGGGGGACTTTGGGCCAGTCCCTCTCTCAGCCCCCGACGTCAGGCTCGGGTGTCAATCAATTCCTGTCGCAACCAATGGATCAACATTAGGTCGATCTGAAAAGCGGACCCTGCACCTGCTAGGAAGGGGAAAAAATGACTGAATAACTTCACACATTTCAAAATGAAAATAAGATGCTTGTTGGTGAGAACTCTGAAAAGTAGATGCAGTTTTAGTACCTTGTGAGTAAGTGAGTCAGATGTTGCCTAGCTATCCACCAGGAAAATTTGGAAGAGGTCCTGAATCAGGATCTCCCATTGTGGTTTTAATCATACGCTTTATTGTTAGTTAAGGAAGCAGAAAAAGGAAGGTGGGAAGGGATGATTTATTCATTTATGTATTCCAGACATTGCTTATCTCCTGTTATAGGCTGAAGATTGCATAGCTGTGGGCAGAGGTGTCTGCAGGGAATGGTAAAAAAAGTCAGGATGGGAGCCATAATGGTGCGATCAAAACTCTGCCCATGTTTTATGCGTGATGCACATAAAAAGCAGGAGGAATTTCACTTGCACCTTGACTTTCTGGGGGGAATGAGCAGATCCAGAACAACTGAGCTTCAGCAGGTGCCTTTAGACCACGATGCTAGCTATATGAAGCTCCCTTTCTCTGGGTCAGGGTTTGATGTGGAACTTACAGGCTCCTCAGCTGTAACCAACATGGCCTTTGTGAGATGCTGCCTTCATGTAAGCAGGACCTGAGAACGAGATTGGGAATCTCCCGCATCTCGGCCAGCTGTTGAAAAAATGGTCCGAAAAGGCTCCAGGTCCTCTTTTTGTTGCATGGCATGAGCATGGCTTCCTCTGGAGTTACGGAGAAGCTCTTCTTTTCCTCTTTCTTGCAGGTTAGGCCAAAGACTCTGATTCCAGACAGCCTCCCAATTTCTCCATGCAGAGATCAACCTTCCAAGCAACCTCCGACGTTTCAGAAGGCAACGGTGGTCAGCATCAAAAACCCAACGCCTGCCCTCCCCACTGCCAATAATACTGTTAGCCATGTACAGACGTCCAGCAGCCAGTCACAAAGTGTCTCAGAGACGGCAGCCATCTCCTCGTCCCTGAGTAGTGCTGGGGTAGCGTATGCCATTATCTCAACATCTCCCAATAATGCAATGCCCATCAATACCAGCGCTGCTGTCTCGGTGGTTAATGACAGCATTAAAGTGCAACCACTTCTCATCAGTGCTGACAGCAAGGTAGGTTTCATTAGGGAACTGCAGGCATTATAAATGACTAAGTTAAGATGATATCAGGGCAGTAGATCTGAATTTTCCCTTGCCACAGGGACTGCCCTCATGAGTAAAGGGAGAATCTTGTATTCCTTAGTAAATGGGATTCATAATCAAATCTTATCGCTTGACTTTGCTTGACAGTCGTGTTCATGCAGTAGAAGGGATTCATTCATATATCCCAGAACTGGGCCCCAGAGGAGGTTGAGGGTTAACCGGCTTGAAAGCTAAGCGAGAGAGCTTTTGCAGAATTGGCGTATTCGTGATTGGCCTTCAGTTGTTATTTTGACATTTCCTTTGGTTGAAGGCACAGATCAGAGAAGCTTCTGAGGACGTCCAGGATATGGCTGCAGGATAGTCTGAGAAGTTGAAAGAACATCTCAGAAGGAGCCACTGGCAAACAACTTCCATACTGTTAAGAAAACCACTGTTGAGCTTGATTTGAGGGCATTTTCATCTTTGTTGTGCATACAGTATTCACATCATGCTAACTTCATGGGGGCAAGAAATAGCATAACAAAATGCAAAATGGAGGTGGGATCTTCACTCCAAAACACAGAACCGTTATTTGGAACCCATCATTTTCTCCTCCAGCACCCATTTCATAGAAGGCAGACTAACAAGATTCAGAAACAAGTTACTTGACCAGGAAATACCACACAGGAGAATCTTGGCCCCAGATGTCAAATTTCCAATTGCTTTACCAAGCCCAGTGCAAGCAAAATTAGTAATGCCTACAGAAATCATTATATGTTCCCTGGAAGAGCATGGATGTGTTCCGCACACAACTTCATGCAAAACACAATTCCGTACTGAAGCCGAGTAACAGCAACCAGCCTGCCAAACTCAGCAGAAGCACAGAGCACAGGACAAAAGGCAGACCACTTCCATATCGTGGACGTGGCCTGCAGGCTGTATGCCTTGAGGAAAGGAATTCTGTTCATCATGTAGCCCATGTCTGACCTTGAAAAAGCTCAACAATTCAGGCCTTGGCAATACTTGGGTGGGAGATAAGCAGGAAACCCCAGAATTGTAGGCTAGATTGGAAAGTCCAAAAACGTCCTCAGAGAATAGGCAAACCACCTTCCTATTGTTGACAAGAAACAAGCAAACCCCACATAGATGAAATTGTCAGGAGTTATGCTCAACCCAAAGAACACCTTATAGCAGTGTTTCTCAACCTTGGCAACTTTAAGATGCCTGGATTTCAACTCCCAGAATTCCCCAGCTTGACATTCAAATCTCATTGCAACTTCTGTATTTTTATACTGACAGAGCAGACCTCGGTTTAAAGGTTTTACAGAGTTTCCCAGAGTCTCCAGAATTTCCAAAGTGACTTTAATTCTGGTTGGGGAATTCTGGGAGCCGAAGTCTACCGTCTTGAAGTTGTTCATGTTGGAAAATGCTGGCTTAAAGTCTTCCTTTCTTTTCCCTGTATATATATTTGTTTGTTTTCAGGGAGAGATCATCTCTTATTTTCACCTATCTCTTGATTTGCAGGTCATCATCATTCAGCCTAAAGTTCAAACTCAGACAGAAAATAAAGTGGAGATAAAGAAACCTGCTGAAGAGTCAACTCAGGGACCTGCTACCAAAAAGAAAAAAGATGAGAATCCAGAGGTAAAAGCCCCCTTTATTATCTTTAAAAATAGCATGCATGCTTGTTGTGCACACAGACACTCTAATAAGGGTGCTCTTTGTCGAAAGGTGAAATAGATCAAAGATTTATTGTGCATTTCTCAGGTATTTTCCTTTTATTTTCAACTTTTGCCAGTGACAGAAGGTAGCCACAATATACAGCTGAAGCAAATGTAATGCTCTTGTTGTCTAGCCGTAAGATTGAGTATTACCTCCTCTATGTTCTCCATGACTTTCCCCATCCTTAATCTTCTGAGGAGGACATTTCTCCTTTCAGCCTTCACTCCAGTTTATGTTGTGCTTGTACCACACTAGTATCTTGATGAGACAATGAAGGTGTCAATTTGCTTCTCCAAAGTCCAGTAAATAATTGTACCAGGAAGAGTTCACCGGGAAGAGTCCACACCCTAACAAGTTAAATAGACCAATATCCGCTTGCTTTTGCTCTACACAGAATAGTTCGTGTGAAAACATGGCACTGGGATAAATAATATACGTACCTGCTTTCCCATCCTTCCCTTAGAATGTGTTGAAAATTGATATTTGCTTGTATTTTGCACAGAGTTGAAATGGATCATATAATTGAAGGATGTCTTAAGGTTTAAACTTGTACATAAACTGCTTTTCTTGCATCTGCTAAAGTAATTTTGATCAGAGGTTTGGGGATGGTAGAACTTAATTTTTAATAAAATTACCTTTTTGGGCTTTGTGCAAAGCTATTGCTTACACCGCTAATATAGCTGCACAGAACTTACATTTGGTTTTAAAATTAGATGTTGGGTTGAACTGTAAAGGTGTCTTTGCAAGATATTCCTCAGAGCTGAATTTTAGTTGTCAACCAGAACATTGTCTAAAATTTATCTAGCTGATACACACAATTGTTCATTAGTTCACTTTCTGAGGTGAAAGTGACTCAAGACAGAATTCCTGGAGTGACAATGTTTGAGAGATAATCTTAAAAATATACCTGTAGTTCTTAGAAAAACTCATTTTTGGATAAAAATGGTTACAGGTGAATTGTAAAATGATACTGTTTCTAAAGATTTTAAAGTGTAGCACAAATACCTCACCATCATTACTCACATTCAGTATGTTTAGTAATAGTTTTTGAAATAGTATGGTCTAGGCAGAGCAAACTTCTGCAACGTTTGCATTTTTTTTTCACTGTAAAACATTCCACATAGAATATTTTTAGTGTTGCATCTATTCTATTAAATCTGTTCTAAATCTAAACCAACATTTACCTATTGGCAGAGGATCCTTCCCAAGGACCCTGATAGGCCACCCAAAATATGTTTCGCCGAACAACTAAGTATGGCTCAGCCTACCTCCTGGGAAATTCGACTTACCAAAGTGATTTTACAGCGTGGGTTTTCCACCCAATATTTATTCGCAACAGCTTCCCAGGCAAAGGAAACGTTATAATGCATAGCTCCATAATTTACATCGGTTGGCTAAAACCACTTTCCAAACTGAAAAATGCCTTCGGTGAGTTTGACGCAATGCTTAAGAAGAGCCTACTCTAGAGCAAGGTTTGAGTGGTGGGATTCCATGGCCAAATATGGGCGCTTCCATCACCTGCCATATCACGGCAGGATGTGGATATGTATTGCCCCAGCCATCAAAGATCTCACTCATGTTCTCTTTGACTGTCAACTCCATGTCCCTTTTAGGCTTAGCTATCTAAAATCTCTACCTGAAAGAAGAGCCCACTGGGGTCTGCATCTCAGATTGTCCTATTTCCTCCTGGGCTCTAACATATACATTATTAGCAGAACTGCTGAGTTTATAGACAAGGCAGTTCAGCTAAGAATCCGTTATATGGACAGATCCGGGTATCAGGTAAAGACAATGTATTTATCTGAATGTTGTTTGTATTAAGCACCTGTATTTTATTATTGTATTTTCTTTCACCTATTTTATTCTGGAAACAGACTTTGTATTTTACCTTTATTTTTAATTTTCAATATGGTCGTAAGACTAATCAATCAATAAACTATTTATCTATCATCTATCTATCAAATCAACAGTTTCATCTTGAGTTTATTTCCTGTTTAAAAATAAAAAAATGATGTGCAGTGCGTGAATCATTGCACTGTTTATAGATTTGTAAATGGTATAATTTTATCAATAATAATGCTTAGCATTTACACCAAACTTTGTGGTGGTTCGTTTATGTTAGCCCAGGATTTCTTACAGTGGCACTGAGAGAAAGGTTAGTGTTATCTGTATATTACAGAAGGGAAGATGCAGAAACTGTAATTTATCAGGGTTCCCTGTTAGGTTTATAGCAGAAGTGAGATTTTAATGAAGGATCTCCTGTTTTACAGATTACCCCCTGAGCCAACGCACTAACACTAAACTTGCCCCTATTAATGTTATGGTTATTAATTATTTTGTTATTGGGGTAATTTCAAATGCGTAAATTTGAAACAGTTATGAAATCTGACAGTTATGCTGTACCATAAATACAAAATGTATACATATTTTTGAAATAACCAGATTTAAAATGATTTGTATTATAATATCTAAACTGATTTTCAATATTTTGCTTGCCTTTATTATATGACTAGTTTGTTGATTTTGCAATTTTAATAATTAGCCATAACAACAAGCCCCTGTTAGGTGTAAGGAATTCTGCCAGTTGTTCAAGGAGTTTTCCCTAGCTCAATCACGTCTCCACATTTAATTTTGATATCTTCTGCTCTGCTTTGCTTTTCTATATCAGGGTGAACCCCAGGATAATTACTCCATCGCATAACTGGTCTACCAGAAATGAGGCTCAAAACAACACAGAGACAAGCCAGTTGTATAAAATACAACCATGTTTTCATAATTGCTATGGGTAACAGGGGAAAAAGGAATCTAAGCAAGCTATCTCAAATTAAGTGTTGCTAGGCCAACCAGATAGAAACACTGACCTGGGAAAAGCTTATTTACAACAGACAGAAAAATCCTAACCCCGTGGCCAGGAGCCATATTAATTGACTTAATTTAATACCCTCCTGGGTCTTAAGAGGTCTTCTGCCTGCCCTCTCCCTACACATCCATGTATGTAATTCTCTTTGGGGTTGATGCACACCTTCCTCCATTTCTATCCTTTCAAGAGGCAGCCCTGATACATAACTGTTTCTACAAAACTTAAAAACTCACGGGTGAATTTCAGTTCTCATTAGAATAGACCTATTGATACTAATAGGACTTAAGTTAGTTATCATTATTTTAAGAGCCCTGTTAACATCTCCAGATTAAAAGGTTTGCTAGATTGGGGCCAGGAAGGCCATATTTACTCTTGTGACAAGCGTAAAAGCCATCTACAGAAGCTGTAGATTGTCTTCTTCCCCATTAGCAGGAGACAAACTTCTTCAGAGCTACCATGTGTAAGTTCTTCTAAAAGAGAGGCAAGAAGAAGAAAAAGTCAAGCTGTCTCTCTTGACCACTTGCCTGCAGCAAACGTGGCTATCTCAGAGGGAAGGCCAACGGCTCCTTCCTCACAGTTGGTGAGCAGAAGGCTGCCCTCAGTCTTCCTCCATGCCAAGACTTGAGAGGTGCACAGGAAGCAGCTGCAGGCTGAGCATAATATTGGTACTCAAATTCAAGGGGAAAAATGAGGCAGAGAAGAACTTTATTGGAAGAGAAAACACACGTTGGAGGCCACTGGAGACCCAACCACTCAGACCTGGGTGCCACACAAGGAGGAGGGTGTGCAAATCCTTTTGGCAAGTTGTGTGGCAGTGCCCAAATTGCCACTAGTCATCATATCCCTCTTGGTGGATCAATAAAGAGGAATCCCAGATGAAGATCATCCTAATGGTCTTGGCTTACTTCTCTTTGCTCCTCAGTTGAGGAATCAACAGATTTTAATGAAATCTTTTCCTCCTAAAATAACATTCTCCTTCCCAACTTCATGTTTAGATATGGAGAAGATGCAGAAATGGTGGCCTTAGTGACCACAGACTGGCCTAATTCTTCTCACCTTCCACTAATCTCCAAGACACATCACAGGGTCAAAACTGAAACAGCAGAGATAAGCCTCATAACACTATGGCTGAGTGTAGTGGATTTATTGAGAGATTCTCACCTGCCTTATATAGGGAGGGCATCAGAACCTGGGCTTCCAAGAGGAAGGAAATAAGGAAGAGGTCCTTGATCAGGATCTTCCACTGTGTTTCTGCTGGTTGGTTTTATGTTAGTTGAGTTGGGGAGCAGCAAACAGAAGGTAGGAAGGAGAGCTGTATACCAAATACAGAATGAAACAATTCCTAGATCACTATCCTCAATGATGACTAGCTAGATTGTAGTCAGTTACTGCCTTCTTAGCATCGAGCAAGGACATTTCATCTGCAGAACTTAGAGAGCGTCCCTGACCTTTCCATCGTGTTGTCCCACCTCCGACCTCAAGAAGCAAACTTTGCACTGTAGAGCACTCTAGGTGATCTAGGGTCATGCCCTTTCCATCCAGTCTCACAGAGCCCTTTTTAGGCCTCTGGGCAATTTCTTACAAGATTCTGACTTTGACAAGCCTTTTCTTAGTGGCCATCAACTCAGGTAGGGAGGTTTTAGGACTGAGTGCCTGCTAGTAAAAGAACTTTCAATTTTCCATCACAACAGAGTTATCCTGCAAGATCAGATTGTTATTCCAAAGATCAGTTAAAGTATAACAGGATGCAGGTTTTAAAACTGACACCCTTCTTCTGTGATCCAGCACTCTCAAGTGAAAATGCAGCATTTTAGATGTTTGCATGCTATTTAAAATCTCCAGAGACCAGTTCTGTTTTTCTGTTCTTCAGGTATAGTTCCAGGAGAAGACGTATCCAGCTTTTTCCTTGCTAGTTTCAAGAATTATTTGCTCTGGTCTATTAGAGTAGCAGTTTATCCAATCCAGGATAGCCAAGAAAATTATCCTGTCAGTGATAGCTGGGAAGGGGAGACCTCACCTCCTTGAAAGAATGAGGAGATGGTTCTCTTGTTCCCAAGTTGGT